GCAAATCACAGTTCCATGGTATTTTGGCACCTGCAGTGCATGAATGCGAAACCCCGTTACTTTGCAAGGCCGAGCAAAATCCTGTACATATACCTGCCGATATGCCAGGCTTATACATAAAAATAAACACCAGTGTTATCGTTTTACTGTTAAACTGCTAGTTTTCGATACCACCATTAAGAAAACGGACACCTGTCTGCAGATAGTGATGCATCAGCGGGTGTCCGGACAGGCCTTTGTTCGGCCATGCCAGTGATGTGGATTTGCATCCATGCACAGCAAGAGCTAAAATACCATAGAGCCGTGGCTTATTTAAATGATCCCCTAGGCCGCTAGAATCTAGGTCATGCCAATACGCCATGTAAATTCAGTAGTAAAAGAAAAATGTTATTGAAGCTATTATTGCGCAAAACAACCCACCACAGATTCAATGCATAACAATCATCAGAATATCTACAGTGTGCAGTGGAGTTATGACAGGGACGGTCACGCCTTCAGCAGCTTTACGGAGATGAAAAATCCATGTATGAAATGGATGGGTCGAAGACAATTCGATTCTACTGTAATTTCGTTCAGTGTAAAAATCAGGTAGGAAAAATGAACGTATTTATTATTAAGCAAAATGTAGTCTCAAAACTGAAGGTACTTAAAGTCCGTCAGATCAACGTTCAGATATGCAGAACGCAATACAGAATAAGTGTTAACACATCACGGAAGTCAAGACAAAGCGCGAAAGAGTGTTGGCGAAAGAGGCCAAAAATTCAGCGCTTTACAACGGTGGAATTGCAGCCAACATTGGCGGAGGCATAACAGTGAATGTTTATGGGAAAACAGAATGTTCAAACGAAAAATTAAACAAGGAGTACGAGAAATCTTGTAGGTTGCAATGACAGCGTGTGGGTCTAAACGCATTTTGCTTGAGAAGGAAAATATCCTGCTTGATACAATGGAATGAACAGAAGCGGACTGTGGCTATCATCTCAAAGCTTGTGAATGATCAGGATTTAGCAAATGGCGTACGTTCTTATTCAGTGCAATTTTTTGTATCTTACATTTGCAGCTTATAGGAAGCACTCAAATAAGTGTCAAAATCATTCTTCTTGTACTGCTAGTTTATGTGAAATGCAAACGACTTTGAACAGTTACGTTAGCATCAATAATGAACATCTCTTAGAAAATAGAGTAATTCATTTGTGCGTTAGTGACCATACTGAAAAAATATCGCAATATACTATGCAAAAGATACTGCGGTCAGCCTGATAACTGATCAGTACTGATGTTTCGGCCTGTCTCACAGGTCTTCTTCAAGGTAGATTGGTGGTGATGTTCCGTGAATGTCGTTAGCCCTCCGCAGCAGTCGTTAGTTTCAGAGCCAGAAAGCATGCTGCTGGTTAAATAGTTTTTTGGGCGACAGGAGCAACAAGACTAATCCAATCCTTGCAGAGTTTGTATCCTTTGTCATGGCTGACGTTTCGCAAGATTTGATGATTAATGTCTTTTATCCGCTTTGTAACCAATGTCTTTCTTTGATGATGCCGCTAAACTCAGACCATCGGGGGAGTGTCTTTGCATGAACCCTTTTACCAAGGATTTTCAAGCGAATGGTATTGGTTCACAAGTGGTAACGAACTACGCAGAGAGAAAACGTCTCGCTCCCAACAAAATCAAGGAACAACGCAAGATCTCCAGAAATGTGCATAATGCGGCCAAGTAAAGACACTTCCATGATGGTCTGAGTGCAGCGGCATCATCCAAGAAAGACAACGGCTACACAGGTGGATAAAGGAGGCATCAACATCCAATACTCCGAAAACGTCAACCGTGACAGAGAATACGAATTCTGTGCGGATTGAATGAGCCTCGTTACCCGTCGCCCAGTGACTATTTAACCTACAGCAGTCATCGAACTGATCACAGTATCTTCTGTGTTGTACATAAGTAAACCGTGTTTTACGCTAGTTTTCATCTTTCAGTAAAACGATATCCCTGAATACTGATTTAACTGAAATCGTCCCCGTTCATTTCCATTTTCATAGAATCTTTTGTACGAATTCACCTGAAATGTTCGTTCTCACTCCTTTTATTTGCGACGCATCGTAACTGAATCCGTCGATATTTCAAAGAGAACTAACTCAGCTGCTTTTCAGAGGTCTAATTTAGGATCCATATTTTACAAGTCTGATCGTCATCGCTGCATGCAATCGAACGTTGCATATTTTTTGTATATTGTATGCGACGCAAATATAGTGATCTCATTTATATCAGGAAACTTTCAGAACTATGAAACTGAAAATTAATAAGCATAAAAGTAACGCTAAAACTTATATCATAATCACACTACACTGCCTAGAAATCGACAAATCATTGGAGACAAGCGTAAGGGAGATCAGCAGAGGCAGGAAAGCAAACTTGTCATTAAAGGATAATGGCACGTTTATGCATTAACGACGGTAGAGAAATCTACGTGTAGTGATAGCGTGGATTAGTTCCATTTCTCTGTTGGGACAGTAACACGGTGTAGCAAATTACTTGACTTTTTTACTTAATTGCTAAATTTGTCAGAAAGCAAATCTGGATGTCAAAAGTTTCGCATAGCTTAAGATTCAATGTCTTCCATTGTTCTGACATGATTTGAAACTGGCTGCATGTTAAGCCGTAGCGAATGTAATAAGAAGGCTATAAAACTGTTCTTTTTCTGAAAATGAAATGACAGTTGTTCCGTGATGACTTAAAGAAGTGAAGCACACTTATTCCGTGAACAGCGGCAAATCTTAACCACAGCACAGAGTACATTTAAATGTTGTAATAAGTCAGCTGCGAACAAACGTGATTTCACACTGGAAAACTATCGATAGGTCTATACTTTTCGACGTCCACAGCGCTCTGCTGCACATACGGTCGTAGTTCGACGGTATCATCGGCCGCCGCTGGCCGACTGAGAATATATTTTAGCAGGATCTCGAGAACTTGTTTGTTGACACCTTCGAAGCGAACACCGTCAAAGGATTCGTATAGTTTCAACGGGCCTGTGTGCCAGCAGACGTTACATCGAATACCGCCGTTGCCCTCGTCGTTCTCTTCCTGCCACGTGCGAATTAAGTCCATCGTGTTCAACTGGTAAGCACCAAAGTACCAGTACTGTAAGTCAGTAAGCACCGTCTGCGAAGCTAAAGCATACGTCAGATCGGTATACTGCGTGAAGCCTAAACAGAAAATCACGTATTTTTATATGATGTCAGCAATTCTCTCTTCAATTCAAGTAAAACGGTGAAACAAACTTAACTCGTTAGCCATCTACATAGACCACATAGGTAGGATACTACGCTACAAAAAGCTATTACCCTAAAAGCATGCTAAAAATTACCATATTACAGATGACCAAACACAGATAACGTTCTTTCCAATTGAATGACTTAAATACCGATAAATATTTTTGCCCTGGCAAATCGACTACAATTCGCTTTGAAACCGAGCAACGTTAATAAAGTAGCTCCTCTCAAGGAGACAATCTGCATGCACTGACCGCCTCCACATCATTTGGAGCTATTTTCTAGTGATCTGTATCTTGAGCTAGTATCAAACCTAATTTATCAGGACTAAGTAATTCTCAGGTCACTGGACGAACGATATCACGGGAAAAAGAAACAACCTTGTTTTGGCTTGAAAGAAAATGGAATTATAAAGGAACAATGTAGGACAATATCACTGTTGATTCGTGCAACATGCCTGAAAGTCGGTAGTGCTCAGATTACACATCCTTCATCACATATCCACTCATATACAGCCGCCTTACGAGCTAAACTGTACCAGTTGATGCACTGGAGTGACGGCGATGCTTGATAGCGAATATATAAAGCTTGTTGCAGCCTGTAGGATAATTCAAACTGGAGCTTATACTTTTAAAAAATCTTCTAGGGCAAAGAAACGTGCTAACGTAACAATGCTCTAGATGCCACCCTTCACATCAACTAGGTATAACAGTACCAACGCCAGAGTGGTTCCTTACAGCCTTACAGAACGCCGAGTGAACGAAAGGTGTAAGAAACAGCCTGCCAAAAGTTCCTAGTTATAGCTGTTTGGAACGAAAGTACGTGGTCATCTGTGAAAAACTAGTGTTCATGATTTTCGGTATATAAAATAACAATTTATTACTGACATGATGAAACATGGCAGTTCGATCTCAGAAGTCTAGACATGTATTATCACCAGCTACATCGAGAAAACAGAACGTGATATGTAATAACTGGAACATAACTGGTAAAGTAAAACATACTTAAGGCTAGCATTCTGAATTTCTTAACACTTACGACCCATGAAGGACAGTAACTGCCAGCCAGATTTATCAGATAACTGAGTCATGAATAGTGTAAGAACGATAACAGGTCAAAAAAGAAAGCCCTACAGATCAATGCTGAAACAAAAGGAACAAATGGCTGTTCATTTACAAGAAAATTGGATGCTACCAAGGATGACATTCAGTTAAAGCAATCATGCTTGGAAGAAAAAGTAAGCTTGCAACCATTGGGACGTCGGTCTTCCGTGAGAGTGTATGTGAGCGCGCGTAATCGGCGTTTACGCTCCGCATGAAAAGTTGAATTGCATAATTTATCACAAAGTTATGGGATTTCAGGAAAGGCTTCTTTTGCGTTTCCATGACTTACGCTATTTGTTGACCCTTCTTTCACGAAATATAAGGTACACTGCCGATCTCCATTTTGATACCAGTAGTCAAGAGCACTGTATTTTTCGAAGCAACATATGTTGATATCTCTTCTCGTGCACCGGCCTTAATTTATCCATGTTGGACGGACGGAAGGCGAATGACCCCAATCGGCATTTTTCAGTTTCAGGTTCGGTTTTGCTAACCATACTAATTTAAAACCTAATTTAAAACAAGCTGATTATAATTTGACTAAGCTTAAAGATTAGAGCTGCCTTAAAGAATTAAGGTCCACCGTGGCTGCGACACAGAAGAGCCCTAAATCAGTAGCTTTCAAATTGAGAACCGGTCGTCCTTCAGCACCATTAATGAACATCTTTAACAGATGCATCGGTAAAATTATCGGTCCGTACGCATTTCAGAAGCTGCAGATAGCTGTAGTGCTCAAACGCCAAAACCCCACGTACTTGAAAGACTTGAGGTCGACTGTCTTATATCATCGGCTGCCTTTTAATGCCTCGAACGATTGCTGCTGCATCATTTTGCTTTCAGTCAGAACCGATCAGCAATTAACTCAATCGCCATTCTTAGCCAACTTCTTGAGCAAAATCTCGTTTAGGTTTGCGAAACGGTTCGCTTACCTCTCCTAGACTTGAGCTCTGCTTTTAGTACGATGCTATGCAACTGCCTGATTCAATTTCCTGCATCGATGGGCTGTTAGTTTTCTATGCAGTTATTTTAACAACCTGCAACAGTTTGTCAGCGCTGAGCATCGACAGCCGGTGATTTTATAAGATTTGTCGCGCATGGAGGTTGCGCTTCGCGCCGTATACTAACGACCACAGGCCAAATGCAGATATGCAGGTCTCTGATCATCACTGTTTTGTCGTTCAATTCCACGAAGTTTGGGAGTGGATCATCAACACAGAACTGATCGTCAGCGCAGAAAAATCTCTCGATTGCGGTTTTAATTCTAAAAGGTGGATATCATCCAGCTATATCAACCTGAGTGTCAACAAGCCAGTTACATGGACTTCAAGTTCACGGATGCCAGTGAACTGAAATATATTAGTGCAATACTGAACAGTCATTTAAACTGGGACGCGCCGGTAACCGAGCAACACTGAAATTCTCAAAAGCGCCTTTTTACTTAAGATGAAAGGCACTTAGGAACGAACCCAAAACTACTTTAACTGCAGGCATTATATTACACAACGCACAACCGTGTTCACCTCTCTTTCATGTGTCAACTACCTTGCGTAAAAAGATAACGGCCGTGTCGGCCGTGTCATTAAAAGCTTCTTCAGAAGTGGAATAACCAGAGCCTGTGGTATGACGTATATATCATAAATGATTCTGCTGAACCCTGTGAAAAGATCGTCGTCAATTCTGAACATTCAGTAAGCAAGAACTTTACTACGTATCTATCCAGAATTGTGGTAGTTACGCCACACGCAATCTTAGTAGCCACAAAGAACAACTTTAACCCTGCCCTACGTATAACAGAAGCATTTCGCAAATTCTCGCTTTATCATTCGATGCTCAATGAACATGAACAAATAAGTTCAAATATTGGAAATAAACCTGTCCCGATCCTCGCGTAGCCGTAAGCTATTTCTTCAGATTTCTTCTAAGACGTAACCTTCAACTATTCGCTCGTTTACTGTTGTTTACATGCTGATCATTTCAATTTTCTACTTAAACACAACCATGGTGAGATAAATGTATAAACTGAACTCAGTGTTGACTGTTGAAGTCCACTTAAACGAAGAATGATTTTTTTCTACAGCCTAGGTTGAAACGGACCAACGAACGGAAAATAAAGAAATGCCCACTTCAAGAATGGCATGATGGGCTACAAAAGACGGTGGATAAAATGTTCAGAAAGTCACATTTAGTGAAACAGATGCCTAAAAAACAAATTATAAATGGTAAACCCTGCCTAAGTAATGCGCCTGCGACACAAGCCATGAAAAACCGATCATCAATGCAGAAGAAAGCAGGCAGTCGTCAAATTCTTCTGGTTCTGCGTTCCACTGGTGTAGCTGATGGTAGACGCTGGAGAACGAACCGGCTGTAAGCAGGCCAAATTCAAATGGATCCCCGTATTCGAAGCCTAAACACTGCTCAGTTATTTTACGAAGAGACTGAACATGAAAGAGTTGATCAGACTGATCAAAATTCATGTATCAAAGTTTAGTTATCAAAGTTATAACCGAATCCTAAAACTCAGTTATATGCTTTTTGTGCATTGTTGTCTGGGATGTTACTAAGCGTAAAAAGTTAGAAATTAAAAAATTAGAAAATTACTAAGCATAACCGGGCTAAAAATAATTTTTGACTAAAAATTAATTTCGATAACAGAGAATTTGATAACTAGACATTCTCTAACTTAAATTGATGTGAAGGAATAAACAAAAATGAATCCACCGTTAATCGCGGTCATAGATTAGTATCTCAAATTAGACAGCGTTGTTCGCCGCTGCAAGCAGTTGGGTAGTGCCTTCGCTCCGCTACGTGACCCGCTTACGCGACGATTGTTGTATGAGTGCTGTACGTCCACAGATTGAAACGTTTGATACCAAGAAATCTGATCCCCAGCCGATCGACATCAGCGAGGAGAACATTCGGTTAGACAACGTACTGTAAGACTAACGAGGTCGCAAGGAAACTGCAGAGCCAAACTTCGCTGTAGAGAAGGATGATTCGAGGTCTTCTAGCAGGTAAAAGTATATATCACAGCAGTACGTTTAACACCATGCGTTTTCAAAAGTTGTTAGCCATTCTTTGCTCCTTCAGCATTATCCAAATAGCCTGCGCTGGCTAACGAACTATTTCTTTGACCGTACGCCGTTAACACGGGTCATCAAATGCAAATTTACTTTATGAAACAACTTTAGAATTCCACAGGTATCGATCTTATCACTGCTTCATTTTACAGCATACACTAATGCATGCAAAGTCAATTCTCAAAATAAAGCATAAGACACGCCTTCGTACCGTGTGCAGGTACATCAGATGATCTCACAAACTATGCGAGCTAACATCTGCTCAGGACTGGTCAGAAAAAATAGCTTACTCATCAATCATAGTAAAATCAAAGAATGTTTATTTCAGCTCAACGAGCATTCCCGTACAACATTAACCAACTGCATCCCGTTCCCCTGTTCCCTGAAAAACACGAAGACGAAGAAAGTATTACTCAGCAACAGAGTCGTCGGCCGTTCTGAACGGATGAAGTAGACAGCGTCATGACTTTATAGCACTTCAGATATGATACCACGGAAAGATACCAACAGAGGGAGCTCAGTCAGAAATTAGAGCATCTCCTCACTCACAGGAAACGGCTGGAGCTAGTTAATGAGGCCGCAAGGTACCAATCTGACATACTTGGACTTTCGTCAATGAAGCACCAATGCTCTTGAATTCTGAACCACTGCAGTTAAAAGCTATTCAGGTGTCGATTCCTATGACCCGCGCTCAAGCCCGTGTTGGTGTTCTGACTGAACATAAACTGGCTGACAGAATCACTAAATGGAAGCCTTTCAGCGGAAGAAAGGCAATTCCTCCGAGTGAAATTGAAACACTAGAAAACTTTGACCTTGTTACACGTCTGAACAACCAATACGGAGAGCACGGTTTAGTTCTTATCATAAAATAGAAAGTACTCGATGGGAAGTGCCGTATACCGAATCTATCATTCTGATCGGCGATTTCAATGCGCATGCCGAAACAGCTACTGAAAAGTGGAAAGGCATGATTTGAAAGAAGGCCCTGGCGACCTCAACAATAACGACATGAAGTTGGGTTTTGCGCAAACTACGGACTGCCTGTTGTGAATAATTTCTTAATACACCAAAACATGCATCAGCCTGCCTGATACAGGGTAGCCTGTGCAACGAATTCAATGATCGACTTGACAAACGTGTTATGTGAATTACGACGCTCTGTAATGGATGTTCACGCAAAGAGAGACACATAGCTATCTTCCGATTATTACCTTGTTGTTGGCGCCCTCCGCTGCAAACTATTGATTACCAAGCTGTGAGCTTGCCTGCGACGTATAGGATCGATTGCTAGTTGTTACGAGCCACCAAGTCACTAGGAGGTGCTGCGTTAGAGCAAATGTCGTCGTAAAGTCGAGACCTTTCACCGAAGTCACAGAACACCGCCAAAGCTGCGTTCTGTCCCCTCTCTTGTTTGTATTTTATATCGAT